GTTGTAGGTGGACACAACGCCTTTATTTCTATTTATTTACTTTTATGTGGTGCTGAGGATCGAACCCAGTGCTCCGCACATGCTAGGCGAGCGCTCTACCGCTGAGCCACAACCACAGCCCCCAAATTAAATTTTTTTAAAAGGGCTGGTGGCTTAGTGGAGGGACAAAGTTTGCTAAATGACTACAGAGAATTCCCACATACCCCTCACTCAGCTCCAGGGTCCCCTAATGTTATCAGCTTACATTATTGTGGTCCATTTGTTAAAAACTAAGAAATCAACACTGGCACATTGCTATTAATTAAACTAGCTTTTGTGTGGATTTCTCCAGGTTTTTCCTAAGGTCTTTTTTCGTACTGGGGATTAAACCCAGGAGCACTTAACCACAGAGCCACATCCCAAGCTCTTTTTTATATCTTATTTACAGACAGGGTCTCACTAAGTTGCTGAGGCCTCCAACTTTCAATCCTTCTGCCTCAGCCTCCTGAGTTGCTGGGATTACGGGAGTGCACCATAGTACCCAGCTTAATATCTTTTTCTATTGCAGGATCTGGCACTGTTTTCGATTACTTAGGTTCTGGGTAGAACATTTGTTTTGGAAAAAATGCTTTGTGATTAATTTCAGTAAACAGTATTTATCTAAAGAGCTAAACTTCTCAGCCCACAAAGACACTGCCTTAGATAATGCTGGGAGTTTTTGCACAACCTGGCTTCGGGGAGACTGGATTTCCTGAGAGTGGCCCAGGGATTCTCAGCATAGGGAAAAGAGAAAAAGAAAAAGAGAAGAATTCTTCCCTTTATTTACAACTGACTTTGCACATCTAATATTCATGTGGAGAACGACGGCAAACCATAGTTTTCAGCTCCCTCATAATTTTTTTTTTTTATGAAAACACCCAGAATTTATGTGGTTTCAAGGGTCAGCTGGGTAAATATAGACCAAACTCTGGTTTGGTGAATAAAAGGGATATGAGAAGAGAAAAGTTTCAGGCTTGGAGGAGGAAGTAGAACTGAATATATATTCCAGAGGATCCTGGAAGAGATCTTCCATCATCCGTCCGTTCATCTTCCAATCGTACGTACGTCTGTCACTGCAAGATGGGGGCAGGGAATGTTTGAATGTGAAATGATGGACATGGGTAGGTTTTCAGCTGTAGTTAAAAACACACTAGTTGGATAACCTTGAATGAGTTGCTCAATCTTCCTGAGACTGTTTCCTTGGCTGTAAAATGAGAATTAAGTTTTTTTGTTGTTGTTGGTTTGTTTTTTGTTTTTTGGTACCAAGGGTTGAAGCCAGGGGGCATAACCACTGGGCCATATCCCCAGCATTTTTTCTTTTTTCTTTTTGACAGGGTCTTGCTAAGTTGTTTAGGGCCTTGCTAAGTTGAGAAAGCTGGTTTGAACTTTCGATCCTCCTGCCTCAGGCTCCTAGGTAGCTGGGATTACAGGTGTGCCCCACGGCACCTGGCTAAAATTGAGTATCTAATAAGATAATGTATTTAGCACAGTGCATGACATAGAGAAAGCACATGATATATGTTAACTGTTATAATTATTGTTACTGTTATTATTACTTTATTGCCAAAGGTATTCCACCCTAATGCCAACAAACTTTTTCAAACTCTTCTTAATCAGTCATTAGTCTCATCTGCATATGTAGATATTCAGGAGCCAAGAATGTTGACAGTTCTCAGTCTAAGTGGGACAATGGTGTATCCAAGTTCTTAAAGTATGTCTAAGAAGTGGCACACAGGGCTGGGGCGGGGGCTCAGTGGTAGAGCGCTTGCCAAGCACATGTGAGGCACTGGGTTCAACCCTCAGCACTGCATAAAAAAGATAAATAAAAATAAAGGTATTTGGGCTGGGGCTGGGGCTCAGCAGAAGAGCACTCGCCTAGCACGTGCAAGGTGCTGGGTTCAATCTTCAGCATCACATAAAAATAAATAAATAAAATAAAAGTGTTGTGTCCAACTACAACTAAAAAAAAATAACATTTTAAAAAATAAATGTATTTAAAAATGGTTATTAAAAAATATCTACTGATTTTAAAAAAAAAAAGAAGTGGGGCACAGTGGTGTACCCCTGTGGTCCCAGTTATGAGTTTTCTCCAGTTGCCCCCTCCCCCACCTGAGAACATAATGCCTGCCTGGCCTCCGGGTGGACCAGACCCTGCCACAGGCTGCCAATTAGCTGCCCTGTTACTGTGACCTGAAATAAAGTTCCCAGCAGAGGACTACAAACATTTGCTGAACACACAGACCTGTGACCTGTGGCTGCAACTGCAGGATTGGGAGGGGGCGGGGGGGTTGGATTGCACCATCACTGCGGGTCTGTGGCTCCAGGCGGCTGTGGGCCCCTAACAAGGTGAGTGCGCCTGTCACATCTGGGAAAGAGCAGGAGGTTGTGATCTGCAGTTTTAAAATGCCTAGCATGCTCAAAAACCTGGGTTCCATCCCCTGCATGACAAATAATAAAGTTTCTTTTAAAATGAGACTGTTTTATACAATAATCATTTTCAGCCAGGCGCGGTGGCACACATCTGTAATCCCAGCGAGTCTGGAGGCTGAGGTAGGAGGATTGCAAGTTGAAGGCCAGCCTCAGCAACTTAGTGAGGCATTAACCTTCTCAAGGACTCTCCCCCACTGTTATTTGTTTTTATGGGAAAAGGTGGAAATGTATGTGAAAACAGCCGAGGAGCCTGCCTGGAATACAGGAAAGAGTTTAACGTTTATAATTCAGGGCTCCAGGACAAAGGTGGCCTATCCCCATCTGACTTCACTTTGGGAAATAATGCCGAGATACGGAGAGGAGGTGACAGAAACTAGAAGAAATCCCTGTTTGAGACATCCACCTGCTCAGAAACAGCCCCTCAGCTCACAGAAACAGCATGAGCCGGTGTCTGGAACTCACGCAGGCTCAGAACCTCTAGCTCAGAACCTCAGAAAGGGCTCGTTGTACAGAGGGCACAAGCCTAGAAGAAACAGGCCAAGATTCTCTGATAACCCACGACACCTGCGGGAGGGACCGCGTCCTTCAGATTCATCCGCCAGGTGACCTCGTCCCTTGGCATCTCCAGGGGTCTATGAATATAATTTTTTTCTTACCTTCTAGAACACATAAAGGGGTAAAGAAGTAGCTGGCCCGTTCACAGCTTTGGATGGGAATAAACATTTCGCATATTAAAAATTTTCTGCAGGGCCCTGAAAAATCAGATTTGGCCAGGTGCAGCAGTGCACACCTGTGATCCCAGCCACTCAGGAGGCTGAGGCAGGAACATCCCAAGTTGAAGGCCAGCCTCAGCAACTTAACCAGACCCTGTCTCAAAATTTTAAAATAAATAAATAAAAAGAGCTAGGATATAGCTCAATGGAAGACCTGGGTTCAATCTGCAGTACTACCAAAAAGAAAGAAAGCAAAGAAAACTCAGATTTGCTCAGGATTGCTGAAAGTGCATCATCTAAATTTAATTCAAAAATATTGGATGTCAGTGGCTCAGGAGGCTGAGGTAGGAGGATCGTGAGTTCAAGGCCAGCCTCAGAAATTTAGCAAGGCCCTAAGCAACTCAGGGAGACCCTGTCTCTTAATAAAATATAAATAAGGGCTGGGGGTGTGGCTCAGTGGCTGAGAGCCTCTGGGTTCAATCCCGGATACTCATAAATAAATAAATAAGTAAATAAAATTAAATATTGACGCCTTCCCTAATCTCTCTCCCTTTCTCTTTTTCATAGGGCACCTGGCCCCACTCCCCTCCCTTTGATCCAGTGTTCCACACACACCCCAGGAGCTGAAGGGAGGGGGAAGATGACGTATGGACCTGAGTTTCTCCTGAAATGCTCCCCTGCACCTGTGCTCACGGCTGCACATTCAGTGCTTTCTGACTTGGTGTTCAAGGTAAATAAACTGGCATTTCCAGCATCCTGATCAGCCTCCTGGCCAGCAGGCCTTGGTTTGAGGTCATGCATTCATCCTGCACACGGTGCTGCCTTTATGCTGCTCTCCGGGAGGAGTATCTAGAAGATGAGTCCTGTAGACAGTTCCGGTGCAGAATAACCAGACCCTCCCATCACAGGGCCATGGGGGAAGGCTTCATAAAAGAGGGCGTGTCTGCGTGGACTTTGAAGGACGGACAAGGGTTTACACAGGATTTAGCTTTGTTTTCCCTCCTGTCTCCCTTTTCCCTGCTAAAGAAGCTAGATGCCACCTGGCACCTGGGATAAAATCTCAATAAGGAAATAATGTTTATCTGGTGCCAAAAATGACCTGAAACTGACCATATATTATAGAGAAAACCTTGAACACCTGCTACTGTGCCCAAGACAGCGTAAGACCCTTCTGAATTTCTGCATACTGATTTTAACTGTCTCTTTCCCTTTCTTACCCTCATTTATTTTTTGAGAAGCACGAAGCCCAAGAATAATAACAGGAGAGGACGGGGCAGGTGTAGGACAGGGAAAGAGAGTCTATCCTAACCCTTCTTGCTTCTTTTTTTGGGGTGACACTGGCGATTCAACTCAGGGGCACTGGACCACGGAGCCCCATCCCCAGCCCTATTTTGCATTTGATTTAGAGACAGGGTTTCACTGAGTTGCTTAGGACCTTGCTGTGGCTGAGGCTGACCTTGATCTTGGGATCCTCCTGCCTCAGCCTCCCGAGCTGCTGGGACGACAGGCGTGTGCCACCACACCTGGCTCTCACCCCTTCTTTTAGCTTTAAATTCTGCATTTTTGTCCCCACTTCTCTGCTTTGAGGGTCTCCCTAGAGCAATGGGAGGGAACACTGGGTCTCTGGGCCTGGGCAGCACTGTTGCTCTCCCTGGAAGTCTCAGAGGAGGTTCCCTCTTGGGGTAGGAGACTGAGATGGATCACAGGCTTGCTCCCTGCCCCTGTCCTCCCCCTCACTTTGCACAACCAGAAAGCCGACCTTTCAGTATTATTCTTCTCTCTGCAGCCCAATTGGCTTGGCAACAATAAATCCATATTTCCTCCTTGGCATTTCTTTAGATGTGTACTGCTTGACTTCAAAACTCAAAAGGAAGTTGCCTGGCGGGAGGCCTTGAACCGCTTGCCTTCTGGCCTTGGCCACTGGCTTGACGGGTGTCACCGAGTCTCCTGGGAGAGCTGGCAGCTGATGAAATCCCAGAGGCCCTGAACCTCCCTTCCAATGAATGCTCTTATTTGCAGATCCGGGTTCAGAACAGGAACTGCAGGTTGGAAATTGGTCAGAAGGTAGAGTTACCGACAGAGCAGATTTGCTTCCAGCTGCTTCAGAAAGAGAGAATTGTCCATCTGATTTTGCAGATTAAAAGCTCCCCTGTTTATGAACTATTTATAAAAGTTCTTGGAGTCCCTTTCCAGGAAGAAGCTAGGAAATCAGAGTAGCAAAGAACACGAAGCCCTGTTTCGGTCTGCTTTACTCTAAAGCATCCTTATTTGTAAAGAGACACCCACATGGATGCGTGACATGAATATTAGGAACAGTGGCTAATGAAGCTTGATGTGAGCCATGTACTGTCTGAACACTCACATCCATCCGGGCTCTCTTTCATTTCTGCAAGTTAGGAACTGGCTCTATTTCCCAGAGGCTGGGAGAGGTTAAGGCCAAGGTCAAGGTCACACAACTAGTCAGTGGTAGAATGGAGGTTCAAATCTAGATCCCTGGTTAGACCTTGCTCAGTGCCCTGGAGTTTACACAGGCATGAGAAAAAAACCAGTTCCACTGTTTCTGAATGTGACCCTTCTCAGGTACCCCTCCAATTTTTTTCTTTATTCTTTCTTTCTTTTTTTTTTCTCTCTGCTGGGAATCAAACTCAGGACCCTGCACATGCTAAGCCAGCACTCTACCACTGAGCTCTGCCCCCAGCCCCTGATTTCATTTTAAGAGACAGAAACTGAAAACTCAAGTGGGGGCATCTGAAAGCAGCAAAAATATGTTCCTCTCGGTCTTTGTTCCCATTTCCTTGGTTGGGAGTGTGGATTGGTGGGGCCTAGGTGACATTTACTTTGCAAACAACAGACCAGAAACCAGGCCGAGTCCACACCTCACTGAGTAAATAGCACAGGGAGGCCCTGGCTGGGCTGGCCAGCTCCCTAGGGGAGGTCTTGCTTTGAGAGAGGAGCAGGAGAATGTAGCCATGACAGGGGGGTGGGACCCAGAGCTCTGGTCCCAGTGATGCCATCCTGAGCACCTCGCCCTTCCTGACTCCAGTGTGGAGGAAACCAAATCGATTGTGTCTGTGGTCCAGGCTTCAGGGGCAGTTCTACCTGGGCAGTGCAGGGGGTGGTTAGGTACCAGATGGTGCAGTTCATTGTGAGGTTCAAGTTTGAGATTCACCCCTTACACACTCTGTGATCTAGACTCATCCTTAACTTTTCAGAGCCTCTTTTTTTTTTTTTTTTTTCTATCAGAAACCAAGGTTAATAGTAGGACCCACCTCCTGGGGGGGTCAAGAAGTTAGAGTTAGAAGGACTTACAGAGGGCGGGGGCGGGGACGCAGTGATAGAGAGCTCGCCTAGCACGTGTGAGGCCCTGGGTTCGATCCTCAGCACCACATAAAAACAAATAAATGAAATAAAGGTATTGTGCCCAACTACAACTACAAAAAAATAAAAAATTAAAAAAAAAAAAAAAACAAGGGCTGTGGGGTAGCTCAGTGGTAAAGTGTCCCGATGTTCAATCCCCAGTATAGCAAAAACAAAAAACAACTATCAATGATTCCCGAATTCTGCAAGTATGCACTGAATGTCCGCCACACAGAGGGCTCTGTGTTAGCTCCACAGACGATAAAAGATACTCACATGGACTTTGTCTTGAAGGTTTCACAATCTAGTAGGAGGTGCATACAAATTGACAATGGCATGGAAGGAACAGTCACCCATGAGATTAGGAGCCTGCACTTCTGAGACCACAGGAATTTCTCACTGCAAGTCACATGGGAGAAGGTGGACCTTGTGATCGCCCATAGCACATTTTCAGGGATCATCTTGAGCAATCTACATAACTTCCCCGGACCAGTTCCCTTCCTGTGGTGGTTCTGTGTGTCAACCTGGCCAGGCATAAGTCCCAGTTATTCAATTCAATTCTAATTCAAGTGTGCCATGAAGGTAATTTGTAGATGTGGTTAATATCTACAGTCAGTCGACTTTAAGTCAAGGAGGTAACTGAATGGGCCTCTTCCAGTCATGAAAAGGCCTTCTTCAGCCGGGCATGGTGGCCCACGCCCGTCATCCCAGTGGCTCGGGAGGCTAAGGCAGGAGGATCACGAGTTCAAAGCCAGCCTCAGCAAAAGCAAGACCCTAAGCAACTCAGGGAGACCCTGTCTCTAAATAAAATACAAAATAGGGCTGGGGATGGGGCTCAGTGGTGGAGTGCCCCTGAGTTCAATCCTTGTTAACAAACAAACAAACAAACAAACAAAAAGGCCTTCTTCATTCAGAGCAAACCTGAGAATTCTCCCAGAAGAAGAATTTCTGTCTCTTCTGCTGACGGTTCTAGCCTGCTGGTCTGTCCTGTAGGCTTCAGACTTGCAGCTCCCACAATCACATAAGCCAATTCCTTGAAGTTTACTTCATCTAGATCTACATCTGTCTCCCGGTGCCTGCTGTCTCTGATACTTCCTTTTCCCCTGCCAACTGTCTCAGACCTCATCTGCCTCCTGGTCCTATTTCTTTTTTTCCTTGGGGGTGGGGTACCGGGCATTGAATTCAGGGGCACTTGACCACTGAGCCACATCCCCAGCCCTTTTAATATTTTATTTAGAGACAGGTCTCACTGAGCTTCTTAGCACCTCACTATTGCTGAGGCTGGATTGGAACTCTCGAACCTCCTGCCTCAGCCTCCCAAGCTGCTGGGATGACAGGTGTGCGCCACCACATCCAGCTTCCTGGTCCTATTTCTTTCTTTCTTTTCTTTTCTTTTTTTAAAATTTTTTTAGTTGTCAAAGGATCTTTATTTTGGGCTGGGGATGTGGCTCAAGCGGTAGCGCGCTCGCCTGGCATGCGTGTGGCCCGGGTTCGATCCTCAGCACCACATACCAACAAAGATGTTGTGTCCGCCGAAAACTAAAAAATAAATATTAAAAAATTCTCTCTCTCTCTCTCTCTCTCTCTCTCTCTCTCTCTCTCCCCTCTCTCACTTTCTCTTTAAAAAAAAAAGGATCTTTATTTTATTTACTGATATGTGGTGGTGCTGAGAATCGAACCCAGTGCCTCACACATGCCACTGAGCCACACCCCAGCCTCCTGGTCCTATTTCTACAGCACCCAGTTATGAAAGCACAGAACTGGGACCAGGAAGAAAGCTGAAGGCTGTGGAGTCCTGTCAGTGGGTGTTCAGACAAATGCCAAGCAATTGTTCCTGGTCATAAAGACTTATGGGTAGCACTTAGGGCTGCCCTACAAGACCGGGATGAGGGTAAGGCAGGGTGAGATGTACAAGTGCAGGATTTAAGGAGCAAACCAGAAAATTCAGGAATCAAGATAAATAATACAAAAACAGTATTTTTAAATTAATGAAAAAAATCCACGATGAACAAAATAACCGAATTTTAAATAAAGAAGGCAGGGACTAGGGATGGAGCCCAGTGGTAGACTGCTTAGTAGTGTGAACAAGGCCCTGGGTTCAATCCCCAACACTGGGCAAAAAGAAAGAAAAACCATGAACCATTAAGCTGGGCATGGTGCCACATGCCTATAATCCCAGCAACTGGGAAAGCTGAGGCAGGAGGATCTCAATTTCAAGGTCAGCCTGGGCAACATAGTGAAAGCCTGTTTCAAAACAAGTCTGAAAAGGACTGGGATGTAGCTCAAGGATAAAGTAATTGGTAGCATGTGCAAGACCTGGATTCAACCTCTAGAATGTGGCTGCAGGGGAGAATTAGTATTCCTGATTTTTCTTTTCTTTGTTTGCTTTTTCAGTACTAGGGATTGAACTCAGGGGCTCTTAACCACTGAGCCCCATCCCCAGCCCTTTTTCTGTATTTATTTAGAGACAGGATCTCACTGAGTTGCTTAGTACCTCACTAAGTTGCTGAGGCTGGCTTTGAACTCCCAATCCTCCTGCCTCAGCCTCCTGAGCCACTGGGAAGACAGGCATGCGCTGATTTTTCTTTTTCTTTTCTTCATGGTGCTGGGATTGAACCCAGGGCTTCACATATGCTAGGCAAATGCTCTACCCCTGAGCTCCACCACCAGCCCGGGTGTGTGTGTGTGTGTGTGTTTGTGTGTGTGTGTGTGTGTTTGTGTGTTCTTTTTGTTATCAACTCTGGTATGGATGGCACAACACCCTTGTCCTGAGTCGGCTGGGCTCTCTGTGTTCAGGCTAGAATGGCAAGCTACCCTATGGTCCATGTCACTATTGCATAAATGTTTTCCTCTCCCATCAAGATCCACACAGGTGACCAACTATTCTGGTGTGTCCAGAACTGAGGGGTTTCTGGGACTGAGGGGTTTCCTGGGGTGGGGGAGTTTTAGCTTATATTAGGACAATGACAACCAGCCAGGATGGTTGGTCACCTCTTCAGAGAAAGAAACAGGGCATTCATCTTAGGTGCCTTTGTCCCCTCCAAGCCACTTGTGAGCACTCAGTGATTATTCTGGACTGAATGTGTCTCTCCAGGCAGAGCTTCTGGCAGGCCCCTGGTCCCTTCCTAATCACTTACACATCTGAGGCACAGAAAGGATACAAGTGACACAGCCAGATACACTGGCCAGTCCCTGTGGCTCCAGCACCAGTCTTATCAAATATTTTATATTTTGTTTAGAGGATGAGGATGTGTCTCAGTGGTCCACTGCCCCTGAGTTCAATCTCTGGTACAAAAATTAAGAAAATGAATTGTTAAAAGTCCTTGTCAAAGGACTTTTATTTTAATTTATTTCTATGCAGGGCTGGGAATTGAATCCAAAGCATCACACATGCTAGGCAAGTGCTCTACCACTGAGCCACAACCCCAGCCCCTGAAAAGTTTTTGTGTTGTGACTTGGACACAAATGATCATTTTGCTTCTAGAATCATTACACTATGCCTTCTGGGAACTGGGGACATTCTAGGAAGGTCACTAACTAGGCTAGCTCTGTCACTTGGGTCAAGATCCCTGATGTGTACAACCACAAGAATGGTTGTACTCCATGCATGTATAATACATCAAAATGCACCCTACTGTCATGTATGTCTAAAAATAACAAATAAAACATTAAAAAAAAGGATCCCTAACTGCTTGGGCTTCTGGTTCCTCAATCTCCAAATGAGAGGCTTGGACCTCTGTGTTCTGGCAGATAGCAGGATACCCCTGTGACTCTAAGTGTTTTCATCTATAAAATCAATAACA